TCAATTCTTTATTGTTTTCAGATGTCCAGCTTAGCACGTTAAATGGCTGATAAATTGTCAAATAAAAATGTCAATGTTGCTTCGCTAATCAAATGCGATTAAAAAGTGAGAAAAGCTGAATACTTATCCCAGGTAAATCACAATGTGACAACCATTATGTGAATTACTACATTGATAAGATTGGGACATTAACCCTTTCAATAAAACTACAAGTTGTACGTCAAAAAACTATGCAATTAAACCTCATTTATCAACTTTTCTCTTCGTTTCACATTTTTATATTGCAATACAAATCTTCATAATACTGATTGTGATTATCATTAATTGTTTATTGTGTCAATATTACTTATTAACAAGCTGCTTCTATCTGATTATTGAGATTATAATTTTTTCTTCAATGACGATGAAAAGAATCACTTTTGATTGTAAAAATTTTCTCGAAAAATTGGATTAAAATAATTATTGGTAAAGCCAATGACTTTTTACTTGACGTGGGTGTGTCAGCTGCAGCCATTTACTTTGTGGATTATTAGCACCTTTCAAGATTGGTTATTCAATAGGAATGAGGTTCAGATGAAAATCTATCAATTTTCAGTCTTCTTCGATTTTCCAATTCTCAAACAATTGAATGAAAGTCGAGCTTGCAAAGTTGTCTTAAGCGCAAAAAAGGTTAGCTTGGAAAAGGCCTTGCTTCGAGTTGCTTTTTCATTCTCCATTCACGAGTTATCGAGTTTCAACCTTGTTGACATTTTGAATGCACATTAAAGTTGAGTTAATGATTAGATTTGCTTTTTGATTCATGCTTGACCATCGTGCTGCTCACAAATTTTCTGGTAATGAGACAGGAAAAAATTTTGATGCCTTTTCAAAAGATTTATTGGCAATCGTAACATGATATTTCAAAGTTAGCATTTGGACTGTTGCATGTTTCCGATGGTTCACTTTGAAAAGTAAACCGAAGGGAAAAAACGATTACATGAGATGAAATAAGAAGAGGTGACAATTAAAGCCTAGTTTATGAGCTAATCTATTTTCTGGTTATTCAATGAGAAGGAAATTAACATTAACTTTTTTCCATTGATTAGCCATTTTTCCCCAATCATACACAGACTTGTTTGCTCAGCTTATGATCTAACCAATTCATATCTTGATTCCCATTGAATTATCGGAAAGATTAATAATCAGGAGACAAAAATGTTCATTTTTAATCTCTACAACTCCTAAGCATCAGTTCCGAAAATAGAAAAGTTCAAACTGGACCAACTTTTCCCTTTGAATTACAGAGCTTCAGATAACTGTTCATTTCTGGTTTTCTGGTTGATCCATCGATTATCATCTGATAAATCAATCTAAAAGTGGAAAATATGAAATCATTAAAACTTTTACTTCTTCATTTCACTTTATTTCGTTCAATAATGAAATTTGATTTTTTTACCTTCGTTTTGCTCGTTTAAACATTAACAAATTAAACTCAATAAAATTGCCATTTCAAAAGAAACTTTTTAATATCAATCAATCTTTACTGCGTTTTTGCATGATTCAGTGATTTAACGGTAAAAATAAACCAAATATGATGCTCGAAATGACTTTGATGACGATGCAAATTAACTCAAATTAAACTCATCAAACGAGATTAAACTAGTGTTCAAGTGTTTTTTATCACAATATGAAACGTTGCCTTTGCTCACCTCAAATTGAAAGTACAATCATCAATAATAATAACCGTAATTAAAAGTAAAAAATTCATTAAGTACCAAAAGGGTAACTTGGCATAAGAGAGCAATAATTCTCCCAGTTAATTCCATGAGTGAAATCAACTTTTGCTGGTTCAACACAGTAAAACACTACTTTTAATACTCGACTAAATGGCCCATTCAAATGTGAACAATAATCATTAGCCAAAAAAGATGCACAAAAGCAGCAGAAAAAAAACAAAACCTGTGCAACAGTAAAAAACAAAAAAAAAGGAATGAAAAAAACATTCATTTTTTCTTTGATAAAATAGATTATTTCATCAATTTAAAATGCTCATTTTGCTAATCACTTTCTCCTTTTTACCTGGTCTTCTACTTTAAACTCACCACTGAAAACATTATTTTATACGCTTTTTTGAACACTTGAACATTGTCAAAACGAAACGATCCACAGAATTTAATAACATTATGCTTACAAAAGCATATTTAATGGATCAATAAGCATAATGATAATATTAGATTTTGTTTCATCTTTTGTTCCTTTGGACAGAAACTGATGGGCTCAAAAGTCATCACTGAAGTAGGGAAATAAAAGAGTCGAAAATAGATTTTTCTTTCTTCTTCTTCTTCTTTTCCATATTCAATAAAAGATTATTAATAATGATGAGAGAGAGAGAGAGAAAATTTTACACAGAATTATCAAATTCTAATAACTGAATAAAAATAATGAAAAATCAAATTTCGAGATTGAACTTTTGTAAAATATTTTCATTTTTCATCGAACCAATTTTTCTCCATTGAAACTTCAATGCAATCCAAAATTGAAATAATTGATGTTGGTAAAAATGAGTTTACTTTTTTACTTCTTTATCCTGGCTTGCATTATTGAACCATTTCTGGTTTCATCAAAGAAGATTATCTTGAACAGCTTCAGGAAATGCGATGTTATTGATAAGTTCATGGTTAATGTTGATAATTAGGAATATGTAAACAGATGAGAAAAAAAGAGTGAAAAAGAAGAGTAAAGTTCAAGGGAATCGAAAAAAAATTTAGCCTTAGGATGGAATCAAAATGTTTGAAAATATTTGCAGAAGAAAAAAGTTGAACAAAAAGTTGCATAATTAACCATTTTAGTGATTCCATGATTGGTAAAGGGTTAAACAGTTGAATTGCATTTCCTTTTTTGTGTCATTAAGTCTATTGAAAAGTTTGATCGAGTTTTGCATTTTACTTTTTTTTTGTAAATTTCCAACTTAAAGCTGCATCAATTGTTAGTTTATGATGATGATGACAGATGATGAAATGTTGATCATTTCAGCCATGAAATGATTTCACTTTTGTTTTTACATCACCATTTGAATCATTATTTATCTTCGTCAAGATGAAGAAAAGATGAAGAGCAGAGATGAAAAGTAAAATTATGTTAGTAATAATCTTTTTCTGTCTTTACCTCTCTTCTTTCCAAATGTTATTCTGTACAATGTGGCTTTGTGGCATCATGCAAGAGAGAAAGAGAGAGAAAAAGAAAGGTCGAAATTTATCCAAGGAATAAATGAGTTTTTCCTGTCTCATGTAATTTTCTTCTTGTCTTGTTATCAGGGAATGAAAACTGCAGAATGAAAACATTGATTATAGCCTAAGGTCAAGTCTTACTTTATCTTTACTCATCATTATCCTTTTAGTTCCATTTTTCTTTACAACTTTCATGGTTGATTCAAAATGATAACTGACTCATTTCTCCATTTCTCTCTCAACATTTCAACTCTTTTCTCTTTTGCTCATTTCTATCATTCCCGTTCAACTCGACAACCTTTTTGATAATGATGAATAATGACGATTTAATAATGATTGTTGAATGATTGTTTGGTTAAATTTGAACAAAAAAAGTCAAACTTTTACTTTGTTTGTCAGTAAAGAAAAAAATGAAGAGAAAAAAAATCTTTTGCGATTCAAGGAAATGTTGAATTGTAATGAATTTCAGTGCAATTTCATTGATTTTGATGAATTTTAATGAACATGGAAAATGGGAAAAAAGTGGAAGAAAAATGTTTCCAATTAAAGGTTGATTCTGCAGAAGAGTTTTGCCATTTTGTCAATGTTTCAAATTGGTTGAAAAATGTGTTACTTTGTAATGGAAATGCATTTTTTGATCAATAATTTGACAACTTTTATCGACCTCAAAATTTGACTAATTATAAAGCTTTGCAAATGATTAATGGTTTACTCATGCCAATTTGCATGTGTCTTGAGTAAACTGAAAAAGATTACTTTTTGTGTGTTTTGTGTGCAAAAAAAAAGAGATGAAAAAAAGGTAACTTTTGTTGATTGATGACGATCATTTTGTTGATCAACAATGCTATTTATACCTTTTCTTTGTGCACAATCAAATCATTTTCATCTCACAAAAATGATTGATAATTTGATAATGAGCGCTTTTCGTCTCAAGAGTTGGAGTTTTCTGAATCTTGCCTCTCTCCTGATAAAGATGTGTCTACGATTCTCATGTGAACAAGTTTCATCTCTTGTGTTGCATTTAAAATGATTATTTAAACTCATATGGTTCAGAGATGAACAACTAGTTGGAAACATGCAAAGGAACAAAGTGAAATGAACATTTCCCTCTTGACGTAATAATTAACTCATTTTTAGATTGATTACATTTTTAGTTTCTGATCTCATTTCGATGATGTTTATTGATGAACTTTTCTCTCCTTCCCTCCCACTCTCCCTTTCTCTTCTCTCTCTTATCAGTTGACAAACACAAAAAAATACATTGTGATAATCATCATGCAACAGAAGAATCGAGAAAGAAAGGAAATTCTGGTTTTGTCTGGTTTTACCAGCTTTTACAATTTTATTCATTGTAACAGTTTGGCAAAGTTCATCATTGATCAAAGAGGGTTGACCAATAAACTGTTTTTGGTTAAAGCTATCGAGGAATCAATTGAAATTTCATTTCTAATTAAAGTTGAACGGTTCACAAGACGAACCTGAAAAAAAAGAAAATCAATTTTATCGTTTCCAGTGGAAGATAATTTATCTGCAGGTTGGTTCATTATCTGGTTGTTGACTGTAATACAATTTGTTTCAAGTGTTAATATGTTAAAGAGTGAGAAGGAGAAAGAGCGAGGAGAAAAAAATGTTTACCAAAAAAAAAGTTTACCGGTGCAAATGGTTCGTTTGTGATCCACTAGATGACAGTAAAATAGGATTGGGAGTAAATGACTTTTTCCCCTCTTCAATAGCGGTTTTGTTTTGTTTGTTGTTGCTTTTACCAGGTTTACAGTCTTGCGCTGCTTTGAGTTTGAGCTTCAGTTTGAGTTGATTTCAAGTTAAGTAAACGTTGTGATAGTTTTTTTGGTTGAAGTATAAGTTGCTTCCTTATTTGGTTAACAATGTTTAGTTTCATTTCACATCTAATACAGTTAACATCAACCATACAGTCAACAACAAAGTTAACAGTAACAACACGAGTAACAACAATCTCATAACAACTTTGGTACAAAATAGTGCATTGTATAATATTATAAATATATAAATATATTATAAAATAGAGTTTTTTATTTTTTAAATCTTGTGCTTTTATCCATTTTTTTGGTCAACCTTTCACTTTAATCAGTGTTTTTTAAAGATCGCTTCATTTCATTTTCAATTTTTGCGGCTCTTTCTTTCTTTACTGTCTTTACATTTCTTTGTTTTCTTATGTTTTACATTCATTCATCTTCCTCCCCTTCCTCCTCCTACATTTTGACAAAACTGTTTACATGATGAAACTTGGATTTGTGGTAACCTGAAACCGTGATTAGCATCATCATAAAACACACACTCAACATAAAGTCCAATTAATTGTATTTGATTAATGCCTTGTTATACTGTGTAACTACCGGTGAACACTAAACTCATCAAGCAACAACCAGAACAGCAAAAGTCCATTGGATTGGTGTTGATGGAAGAGCAATAAACAAGGTCAACATTTGACAGAAGGGAACCAGTTCAGGTTGACCAACAAAGAAACCAAGAGAAACCCAAAAACACCGAGAGTTTAACAGTGAAAATTGAAGAAACAGCAAAAGAAATGGTTCTGTGATTATTATTGACTATTTATCGTCTCATCATTGAGTATTTACAAGTTGATAACCTGTGAGAGGGAGACTGATTATAATTGCGAGATTGATTATTGATGGATAACATGATAATGTCACCGGTGAATATTGAAGTGAGGAAAGGACGGAAACGTCGACCAAGCAACAGCCTCGAAGACGATCCAGTTATGGATGATTGTACAGCCGCTTTGGTTCTAATGAGTCTCTCTTGTTCACCCAAATCAACCTTTATTCCTGATCGAGGTAAGTTGAAAGAAAAAGCTAAAATTTTTATCGATTTTTTGTTTCGCTTTTTTTCGCCACTTTATTAATTACACTTTTTCCACTCTTGAATTGTTTCAACTTTTTTTTCTCTTCTTGTACACTTTTCTCTCATTGATTATTGATATCAAGAACGTGTTTATTTGCAATTTGCAAATTAATATTACAACATTGATCCAACTTTTCAATACAAACTCTTTATACTTTTCAATCTTCACTTCTTCTGGCCTCCATCTTTTTTACCTTAATAACCTGAATTTTTCGTTACCTGTCATCAAGACTTAACAACTTTCTTCTTTTTTACAGTAACCTAAACAGTTAGTTTCAAGTTTTTCTCTCCAGCTTAAAGCAAAACTATTCGACTGATTATCATGATTATCATGATGACGAAGATGGTTTTTTCCCAACAAAAAAATGTAATTTGAATATTCCATTAAACATGGAGAGAAAGCAAAGAGAATTGGGTAACTTGAAAGAAAGAAAAAATTGATTCCAAGACTTTACTTTTCATGATTCTTCTTCTTTTTTCTTCTTCTCCCCATTAATACATAATGATTAACCTTTAAACAATATCTTCAGATAATTGTGATGAGGTCACTTTTCACCAACTAAATGTTTCAAGGTACAGTTACTTTTTCAGTTGCTTTTAAACTTGACAATTGGAAATGGTTGAAATGTCAAAAAAGCCGGAAAATGTTTGTGAAAAGTTGAAAAATATGGAAATGAGAAAAGTTGAATTTGGGTGAAAAAAAGTGGAATCATTTTGTTTTTAGTTTTTCTCTTGGTTTCAATACTTGAACCTTTCCGTTTATCCGCAGTTGTAGTTGTTGAAATTGTCCCAGTTTTGAGGTGAAACTGATTATACTTAATGTGTTAGTAAAAAAGTAAAAGAAAGTGTGCCTAAAATAGAGAGAAGAGAGAGAGGGAAAAAAGAAAGAGAAGAAAAGGCAGAAAGCAAGTGTCAAGTAATGACGAAAGAGAAAAAGAAAGAAAAAGTTGAATCTTGAGCAAAAGCAAAATAACTTAACAAGTGAATGAATAAGAGGAACCCTAAAATTTTTATAATTGCGTAAAGTAAAAGCAAGAAGAAGAAGAAGAAATCCAAGCTTAAACAATCCATTAAAGCGAATGGCGAATGAAAAAAAAACATAAGAAAAGAAAGTAAAGAAAGAAAGAAAAAGTTTCAAGTTTTGAGTTACGATGTTGGCTAACGAAGAGAAGAGCGAGAGAAAAGAAAGAAAAGAAGACAGAGATACTTGTTAGCACACCTTAGTTGATGTCCACTTTATTAAAATGAAAAGCCGGTTTCGACCTAATTGAGTAAAACTGGAAAACCTTGTAACAAAACTCATTGCGTTGAAAAAAAAAGTTTCGTTGCCTCTTTACTTCTCTCTTGCATCTCTCTCTTCGTTAGATCCTCTTTTTGAGCCTCTTTCTCTTTCTTTTTTCATCATCATAATCATAATCTTCTTTCTTCCTCTTCTCTCTTCTGTTTATTTCATTTTCTCGCTCCTTAATAATTCATATTACTCAATACCATCAACAATCCAAACAACAACAAAACAACAGTAAGACCTTCATTTCTCCTCTCATTTCTTGCCAACCTTCAACAAGATGAAAATGAAAGTTGATTAGCAAAATGACCTTGTTTATCCACACATCAACGCTTTGATAGCGCTTTTTTACATCGTTACTTCGTTAGCTTCAATAGTTAACTTTCTTTCGCCATCAGATTATTTTTATTATCTTTATTCATTTGGTTGGCTCGAGAGAAGCAAAAAAGTGGTCAAAAAGCAGTACAATTTTTTGATTAAATCCTTGAAAAGTGAAGGTGAATACGAAAGCTTCAAACATTTCAATGGAAACAAATTGAAATCGAAAGGCGAGAATCAAAAGAAGAAAAAAATTCTCCTTTTCTCTAATACCAAGCATTTTCGAGTTTTTACATCCAACGAATGTTGTACAGAAAAAAAAGTTCATAATCTAGCAACAAACTTCTCCACCTTTTTCAATCTTACCTTGCGCTGGAAACATTGATTGATTAGCTTTGAAAGTTTAACCTTTTTTACATTCTTTCATCAATTTTGTCTGTATCGCAAGTTTACTTTTTTTATCTGTTATTTAAGGTAAAAAATTGCCCAAAAATTATGACTTGTTCCGTTGATGAATGAAAGAAAAATGATTTTTTGTTTCTTTTCTCCCGTTTCAAATATTTTTTTCCGATTAAAATGTAATCATTTTGGCGAACCGTAAGTTTACTGTAATCAGCCTTGATCTAACGGGCCAATTTGATTGAGATAGAGATTGGAAAAGTGGAAAAGTTGAAAAGAGCGAAAAATGAAAATTTAATTTTAATTGCAACAAATGACAATAGTGCCATTTAACAGTGTAAATGATTTCAGTAGTTGGTAACAGTTATTGCTTATTATTTAATGAAACTATTATTATATCAAAAAGGGGGGTTGAGAGAAAAGAGAGAAATAACAATTATTCTAATGACATGCACTTAGTAATTTTAATGATAATTGTAATAGTGATAGTGATCATAATAATAATTGTAATAATATTTCACTAACAAGTTGACAAAGTTTTTCATTTGGTTTGGTGAAAACTGATGTGTTTACTTGAGGCATGCCAAAATCAATACAAACTGGTGGGCTTGAAAAACGTCATGAAAATCCCTTTTTGTGAACCAGTAAAGGAACCTTTCCTCATCACCATCATTATCATTATCATAATCATCTTTAATCTTTTCTCTCTTTTTGTTGTCAATTTAAATTTGCGAGTTAATCTATTGAGTGAAAATTCAACCGGGTCAGTTGAGCTCAACGGTTACGTCAACTTTGAATTTAGAAGTGATTTTTCAAAAGTTAACTCTCTTTTCACTCAATGGTTTGGGAAAATGAAATTAAGCTTCAAACTAATGCATAACAACAATCATGATGATGATGATGATGATGATGATCAACTGCAGTAGCAGAGTAAAGTAAAAGATTTTTGTGTAACTTTGAGTTAATTGAAAGAGAGTCAACAGGGAAATGATGTTGCGAAGCAGAATGATGATCAAGATGATAAAGAGTGAAAGAGGGGATTAAACAGGAGGTAATGCTGTTTTACCGCTACTTTTTTGTTGCTCACTTCTTGCTGACTTGTAAGGTAAACTATCAATTGTGGGTAAACTTTATTTCAAATTAACTGTCAAATTTTGCTTTGAACTGAACATCTTTTGTTTTTACGCTTCTTTTTGCGCTGTTGTTGTTGTTGAAGCTTTTATTTAAAGTTTACATTTCAGTAAACATTTGAACCTTGCTTTTGCCCTTTCGTCATTTCTTTCCTCTTCGTTTTTCTGTTGCTTTCATCGTTTTGGCTTTCTGTTTAGGGAAAAGTTGAACATTCAATTATTGAATTTTTCTTGCTGTGTGTTGGTTGTGTGGGTGAACAGGGAGACGAAATGAATGAGCTTATCAAGGATGATTATGATGACCGTGACGATAAATGTGATGATATTGATTACAAGATGATGACAAATTGTGATTACGTTATGTTTACTTCAAGTTTATCTCATTTACTTTTCTTTTTTTTTCTCTTTGCAACTTTTCCCTCAAACTTCAAGTTCCTGTGACTTTTTCATGTGATTTAACGTTGATTGCCAATGATAATCATAACAATAATGTCATTTTCCAATATTTCAAGCAACAGAGAGAAAGAAAGAAAGAAAAGAGAATAAAAAAACAGGAAAAGAAGCATGAAAAATAGCAGATTCCATTGACTTTTGTTTTTCTTTTTTTCTCTCTCTAACATGACATCAGTATCGTCATCATTATCATCATTAAAAAGTCAGGTAAAGTCACACATTTTCTGTCATGATTCCATTGCTTTTCAATCGACATCTTTTTGCACCCAAAAAATGAGCAAAACTGAAAAGGTAAACAATTGAATGAAAACAATTTTTAATCTAATTTCCATCAACTTTTACAGTTATTTTCTCAATCAGGTTATTCAGTATTTCCAGCATTTTTCAAAGAATAATGACCTCAAAAATAATATTGCACAATGAGTAACAACAGCAGCAAAAGACTCAACTTGACGGTAAGCAAGTGTCAAATCAATGTGTTAAAATGAGAGAAAAGCAAAAAAAAATCTGTGAAAAGCGCAAGCAAAACGCACCTTTCATTTTACCGGTTAAAGAGTAAACAATCTTTTTGCTTCCCTCAAATTTCATGCCCTTTTTGAGCTTATCTTGTCCAACCTGTTTTTGGGTTCCTTGGTTGTTTACCTTTTTTTCTTGTTCCTTCCTTCACTTTACCTTTTTTTCTCATTCCATTCATTCATGTTTACTTTGACTTTTCAACGCAACATTTCATTTTCACCTCACTAACCCATTGATACATTTTCATTACTTACATGAAAATTACCACAATTATCTGTTAATCTTGAACCCAAACTTAACCTTAATTTCAACTGGTAAACTTTCACCCTCTTTTTGTTTGCCGTAGCTCAGTGCACTTGCCATAAATGTAATAAAAGGCAACATTTAAACCCAAACCAGAATAATATCACATTTAAACATCAAAACATTGTAAGCAAATAATGTCAATAAAATGATGAATAATGTTAAGCGCATTAATACATGAAATCAACAAAAATATCCCAAAAAAAAACGAAAACAATTTTTACATCTTTTCAAGGTTTAACCAGTTTTTTTCTGGTTAAATTCACAGTTTTACTTGATAAAGTGCTATTCATTATTTAACATTTCCTCTAATGTTAACATTTCTTCACCACTTATGAACCTCTTTTCATTCCTTTAACCATTTACCCTTTCAATTTACTTTGTGTTTTCGCATCATTTTGTTTTCCTAACTGTAAACTATTAATATGCTCATGATTATCATCAACATGCATCTAACCGTAAATCGGCTTATCCATTGGCTTTTAAGCCGATTTATATATTAAAAACGGGTAAAGAGAGGAAAAATTAGATCGAATATATTAACAAGTCCAACATTTTTTCCTTTATTATTATTATCATTATTGATGATGATGTGACGTTTTACCTTAGATGAAAAGTGAAAACCCAAAGAGAAACAATTTTTTCCCTTGGATTATGATAACAATTTTCAACTCTGCTCTGGGTAGACACACGATGATGCACATGAAAATGGTAAATGAAATATTAATGTGTTTATAACCTTAAATCAACTTGAAATGATCTAAAGTTTTTTTCTCTTCTTCATTTTCTTGTATCAATTCACTTGCTTTCCTTGCTCTCACTTAACTTTGCTTTTACTTCTTGTGATAATCATTTTGATATTTCAACTGGAAACTAATGCATATTTGGTTCGTTTTTAACCTGCAACTTTCGAGTTGCACTTTTTGGGTATTTTTTTGGGTTCTATTTTTGCCTTCTTCTCTCCCTTTACTTCCTCTTACCTTTTCACATCATCTTTACTGTTCTTTTGTCTCCATCGTTATCATTATTTTTAAGATTACGATTATTATCATTATATTGTTATCAACCTTGGTAGGAAAGTAGAAGAGCACCAGTGAAGAAGAAAATGAAAAAGTAGAGAGAAGAAGAAAAATGATAAAAGATGAAGTCAGTAATGATGTTGCTGTTGTTGATGTTTATGATGATGATGGTGATGAGAAGAAGAAGAAGAAGAAGAAGTTGTTTTAGAAGTAGTCCTTTTTGCCTTTTCGAAGACAAAATGAGTCAAGGAAAGAAGAAAGCTTGAGAGCAAAAATAAAGAGACTTATCAGGTCACATGTAAAGGTCATTCAGGGTATTAAAGAGGAATCATCTTTTCTTTCAAGATGTGGAATAACACGAGAAAAAGAAGCAAAAAGTATCGTCAGATGGATGAAGAAATGGGATGATAATAATGATGGATCAAATGTTTCTTTTTGGCCACTTTTTTCTCTTCCATTCCTCTCTCTCTCATTCTTCATATTTTCTCATTTTTTGCATCGATAACTTGACCAAGTTATGAGTTTTACCAATTCTCTTGCTGAACCAAATTCCAAATTGCAATTGCAATAATGGTAATAATGAGTGATTTAAAGCTTTGTGGTCCATTGGTGTAGTCTAGTTAACCCAACCTGAAAGAATGTACAAGATGTTAGTTTGGGTGATCATGAAGATGGAAAAGAGACAAAATTGCAAAGATGAATAAAAGTCAAGAAAAGAGGATTACAAGGGACAAGTTGAATGAGAAAAGGAAAAAGGTTCAATATTAAATTGCATTGGCATTTGTTTCCTCCTCTTCATCTTTTTTTTCTTCTTTTTCTTCTTCTCTTCACATTATTCTTTATAATCATCATCATCATCATCAACAGCAGCATCAACAGCATGATCCTCTTCTCATTTCAGTGTTACTTTCGCAACAATTTTTGTCATCTTTTCAGTGGCAAAACTTGTAATGGTAAAAGCCAATGAAAGAGTTATAATACAATGTTTATTTCCTCATCTTCTTACCAAGTTTAACTCTTTTTGTTTGTTCTCTTTGCTGTTGAATTTGTTTCACTTCAGGATGACTGACCATTGGTATAATCACTATTCAATCTTGTCCTTTCCCTGTTTACCCAAAAGTTTCAAGGAATAGAAACGAATCAAGCCCAAAAGAATAAATGTGATAACCAATAGAACACACAAGTGATGAGAGCTGTTCTGGTATCCATAGTTTTTAGTCATTCATTTTACCTCATCACTCCAACATCTTGTTATTATATTGAGCTTGTCACATCAAACTTTCCTCTTCATGTCCATCTCATGCTCTTCATCGTCTCTTTTCTTGTCAACTCTTTCTGTTATTCTTCTTCTTCTTCCTCCTCATCATCATCTCTTCACATAACTACTTATTATATGCAGGAAAAGAAAATATTTTACATTTATTATTACCAAATGAAAAATATCTTATGTAAATCAAATCATTATTGTTGTACTGAATGGCAAGGAATAGCATTTGCAAAAGCAGAATAGATCAAGAGAGAAAAGATTATTTCCAACAGTTGAAGTTATTTTCATTCACAATTCATGATATCAATCGATGCACATATATTATTATTGATGCATTTGTCGTTGTTGTTGTTGTTGTTATTTTTTTTGTCTTTTCCAGCTTTTCTCTCGTACTTTTTTCCCTTCTTCCTCAATCCCTTTCACCAGAAAATTTTGATGCATTTCTTGAATTTTCAGCACAGTTGTCTTGCACTGTTTCTTGTTATCAATAATTTCTTATTCAGTCCTCTTTTCATGTCAATGATTTTCATTTTCATTCATCTCACCTTATCAACAACACTATCTTGAACCATCATCATCTATCATCAACTTTTTCCTTTTGCTTTTTTCCATCTTCTTCTTCATCTTCCACTTTACAGTTTACTTCCTCTTCTTTGTTTTCTCTCATCTTGATATACTTTTTTTACCTGTTTTATCTCTTGCTCACTCAACTCCTAGCATCAATATGATAAGTGAAATACACGAATCGACAAATGAAACATTTGCTCTCACTCAGCCTCTCTCAACCTTGTTAACTTGTCTCAGGTAAAAAGCTTGAGCTCGACATGAAAATGGTAAACAAAACAAAAAACCAAAAAAAGTCAACATTTTTAAATGGATAAACCTGATATAATCATTACTCTTAATAATGATATCAATGTCTTGTTTATCGTAACGTTACACTGTTTACGTTCATTTGTTTTTACGTTTAGTTGTAACTTGAAAAGTGGGAAAATACTTGACGGATCTTGACGGTAAAACTGGGGAACACAAAATTATCATGGTAATTACATGAGCAATACTAAATGAGTGTAGAATAATAAAAGACAAAAAACAAAAAAATGTTTATTTGCTATTTACTGATGAGTGGTGCTAAAGAAAATAACTAAAAGTGAAATAAGACAAAAAAACGAGTCTGTTTACAAGTCTTTGTGAGTCTTCAGGGCTTCCCCTTTTTCATCATTATTATCTTCTTCTTCATCCTCATCTCTCTCTCTCTCTCTCTCTCTTCGTTCTCGTAATCACTTATCGTCTTTTGTATATTTTAGATGTTTATGTGTTGTACTTCGATGTAATAACAAACATAATTAAGGATCAACTAGCCCTTCAACTGTTTCAATTCTTGCCTCGGGTCAAATTACAATGAAGCTATTCTGTTCCTCATTACAGGTTATAAAGAGAGAGTGAGAGTGAAAGTAGAGAAATGACGAAGTAAAGGAAATGGCTAAGTTGCTCTTTTCTTGTTTTTTTTAATTTCTTCTCTTTCTTTTTTCTTCCTCTGGGAAGAAGATGATGAAGGATGAAATGCTCTTGGTTTTTTTGATTGCCTGTGAATGTAATTATGGATTTTTTTCATTGTTATCATTGGAAAATTGCCATGAAAAAGAAAAGTTTTGCCCGCAAGTTTCATTTGCTTTTTTACTCATTTTTTGCACTCTTTTGTCTCTTGTCCTGTTTTTTTTCTGGTTAAATCACTCATCATTCCCATTTCGATTCTTCCGGCTGTTGGTCTTCAGGAAATGTAAATGAATTATTGGGAAATTTTGAAATTCAGTAGAAAAAAATAGTCAATTTAGAGTGGAGATTAAGGGCGAAAAAAGTGTAATTTGTTAATCGGTTCATAATTTAATTTGATTTTCTTTTTACAACAGGAGTCTATTCAATGTCTGTGAAGAGCATCGATTCTGGTGTTGGCTATTGTTCAGCGGCAAGTCGATCCAATACGCCTTCACCGACCACAATCAACGAAGATTCAACTGCCCCAATTGCCATTGAGATTAAGGGTGATAAACGATTCAATGGATTGACAATCAAAGATGAGGGAATCTACATGGATGAAACTATTGATTTTACTAATGATTATCCAATACAAACCAGTGTTGAGGTAAGAATAGGAAAAGTTCTTAGTCTTAACAATCAATTTACATTTTATTAGATGATAAGCAATGAAAATGGTTCCTTTCTGCTTCTTTCTCCTTGTTATCCAATTTTCATATTATTTCACCAATTTTTTTCTTCTCTTTTCCTTCTCATGATCTGAATAGAAAATTTGATTTAATGGATTCATATTTTCATTTAGATGTGCTTAGGTTTATGTGTTGAATTGAATTAACCAAAACATTTTATTTTTTCCTTTCTTTTATCGTCTGATTGTTTATTCATTTCATTTATCATTTCAATCTCTTCTTCTTTCTTTGTTAACAGAAGGCACGACGAATTGTGTTCAAATGTACTTGGCGTGGATGTGGCCTTCGATGTGATCTTGTTGAAGATATTGAGAAACATGTTAGAATAGTTCATCTTGGGTAAGTTTTATTGTTGAGATGAAACTGATTCATTGAGTCGAGAATTGAATTAATAAATGAATTTATTTGTTTGTTTACAGACGAAGTGAGGCGACCGGCGAAGATGATAATGATCATGAGGAAGAATTTTATTATGCTGAAATTGAAGAAGAGATGGAAATTGATAATATTAGTAGTAAAGAGAGTTCATGTTCTAGTGACAGTAGTCTGGGTCCTTTGTCACCCGTCTCGAGTTCACCAGAGTCACCTAACAGTACAAATTACAATCTAAGCCCAACACTCAGCTCGGCTTCCCTCCTTTTCTTTGCTCCTTCACCCACTTGGAGTCATCTTGATATGGCTCGACCTCCACACGAAGATCCTGAGTACCAAAAGCAACAAAAGCAACTTCAACAGCAACAACAACTACAACAAAACCAGCAAGTGCAAAATGTTCAACAGACAACTTCTGTGAATCAAACTATTCTCAGTGCCCAGATTAAACCGGAACCGGAAAGGAAGACAGTGATATCAAGCCCGATCAACATTCCCGGTATTTCGGTGGCCCATCGTTGGTCGACAAAAGGTCGTGATTCTTCTTGTTCATCTTCTTCTTTCTCGACTAGTTGCAACTCGAGCTATTCAAGCTTTTCCAATTCCCATTCGAATCAACAGCATCACAACCATCATCATCATAATCATCCTTTTAACCCTCATCATGAACACCAATCTCAAGCATCTTTCCTTGCCTCTGGTTCAAGTCCATTAAGTTTTTTCTCTCCAAAAGCTCCTTCCAAAGTTATGCGATTGAGTTGTAAAACATCCAGCCCGGTCAACTTGAAGTCAACCTCAAGTAGCCCAGCCTCAACTGCAAATGCAACAACGCCAACACCCTCAATAGCAGTTGGCAATGGTACAACAACAAACAGTTCAACCATGAGTACAAATTTTAAAAATGCCAGCAACTCTAGCAATCATCATCATCATCAGCACCATTCAAGCAACAGCAATCAATGGACAAGCTTATTACAATCATCAAGTTCATCTTCATCTTCACCATCAAAAGGGCACAGCATATCGCCAACCCGACGATCTCGAACTGAAACCAGAAAGTGTCGTAAAGTTTATGGAATGGATAATCGTGATTCATGGTGTACTCAATGCAAATGGAAAAAGGCTTGCACTCGTTTTGTCGATTAACCATGAAAAGCAAAAGCCGAGCAAGCAAGCGAGCGAGCGAGCGAGCGAGTAGAGTGAAGAATAGCAAAGAATCAAAAGCATAACAAAGTTTCTTGCAAAAAAAAACACTTTGATAGTGTTATCAAACTCTCACTCTTGCTCAAATCAAAAAGATGGCCGAAAGATGCAAAAGCCCAAGTTATATTGTTTCATTTATCCTTATCTGTACAGAAAAAAACAAAACAAAACTCAAAGCTGAATGAAATTTTTTTTACACGCCTTTCCATTTTGGTGAAAAGAAAACACTTAAACTGTTAAACTCAGCGTGATTTTACTTTAAAAGGTAATAATGATGATGGTCAAGTCCTAACCAACAATTATGTCTTCAATTAATGAATGGCAGAGTATGAAAAAAAACAATAAGATTGTTATGCTAATTGAGTAAAGTATGGTGATAATGTCAAGGAGAGAAGCTCAAAGAAGGCGAAAAAAAGTGAAAAGAATGAAATGTTGGAAAAAAGGTGAAACCCAACAGGTAAAAAAAAGAGAGAGAAGAAGATGAATAAATTGAAAAATTCTTTAACCTTTGAGCTTCTCTCTTTGTTTCTCCCATTGCTGCAAGAAATGGTTTCATCACAAGTGTTGCAATGTAATAAAATGATGATCATGATGTTCATCAAAAAATCTTTTTCTTTCTTTGTGCTTCTTGAATAACTAAACAAAAAATTCATCATCATTATCATGCTCTTGATATCAATATGAAAAGTAACAAAAATTGTAATTTTAACAAAAAAAAGAGAAAATGAAACTTGAAGAAAATTCAAGTTTCCATTTGACAAGCAAACACACAGCAAATATTATCATTTCATTTCTATTTTTTTTCAATTAAATTGACGTTGGCTGCTAAAAGTTGATACCGGGTGATTGAGAATGACCCTTCGACGTTTGTTCATTAATTACTTAAAAGCGCACATATTTCGATTGAAATTAGTTACAAAATATCAGACCTGCATTAGTAAATAACTGTTCTAATTGTATTTGATCATTCAAAATTTCGATCTCTCTCCGCTACAGCGTGCTCACTGCAAAATGGAAGCTGTCAGATTCGATAAACTTCAAATACCTGCTGTGGAAAAATTATTTAGTGCTCAACACTCAAACATATTTTTTCGACAAATACAACTATTCTCCATAATCTTATTGAAATTTCATAGCTCAACTTCAACTGGTTCAAAAGTTATTTCACTCTGATTCCATCGATGATGGCTCCATTCATCGAGCTGAAGACAATTTCTGCTCTTGTAAATTACTTTGTTAAAATTTTTACTTGAGTGTGCTCTAGATTCGTGAAAACCGTCAATGTAAATGATCTACATTGTGATTCAATGCAAAAAAGGTGCATCTGCAGACTGTATGAACGCAATTTTGGGCAAACCGAACTTGAGGGAAATTTTTTGCTTCAAACGACAATTACTGCACCAAAAAAACATTTTGAGAGTCGAATGCTAGCTTATAATTTATGCCTGGTTATCAACTTGTGTTTTTGCATTTCAAAAAGAACGTTCCGATCAAGCTTGGCAAAAAAAATTGGCAAAGAAACATATTAAGCATTCTTGCCATGTTCAAATGGCCATAGGAAGCTTACTACTTCGATAATGATTTATCATTGGTGCTGAAGGTGGTCATTTCGAAAATATTTTCAGGTGATTTCTATTATGTTGATTTACTATTTTACCAGATTTGAGTGAATTTCAACAAATATTGATAAAGTTATGTGCATTCAAACGTCGAAGGGTGATTCACAATCACCCGGTATTAAATAATATCCATTCAATTTAACTTTTTGATTGTTTTTCTTCTTCTTCTCTATTTAATTGTTCATTTTACCTCAAGTTGGTGGAAAAGTTGACCTTTCAAAGTCAAAGTACAACGCGATTCTAAAGGCACAAAGGAAAAGGATGAAAGAAGAAAACACTTTTTTTCTCTTCTTCTTGATAAACCTTTTGTAAACTTTTTCGTGTTCACATTAAATAGATGATCATTTGTACCTGATGAATGTTGACCAGCTCAAATATCATGCCGTCTATTCATCGCAACCCTATTATCCTGTAAATTAGTGCCATTCAGGGTAAAACAATGGATGATAATTAACGTGTAAAAGGAAGATTGAAAGAAGAGAGAGAAAAAAACTTAACTCTTTACAATTTTGATGCCAATCATTTGCATAATTTGTATATTGTAATTGCAAGGTTATAAAAAAGTACAATGACAAAACAAAACTGTTCAATGGCAGCAACAACAAGAATAAAAGTTGATTTGCATATTTTATTAGGCTTATAATTGTTTACATTAATAAGGTGTTAGGAATCAAGTTTTAGAGGCTTCACAGTATAATTTGAATACTGGATCAGCTTTTCTTTGTCACAAGAAAAGGTTTGTGTGCGCTGTTGGAGTTTACCTTTGAGCTGTGCTTATCTGTTGCAACACACAAGTTAAAGTTTAATGAAAAAGAAACGATTCAATGTCGAAACAAAAGATGAAAATGACTTGATAATGGACTCGATTATACCGTATTTGTGATTGAAAATGAAAGAAATTCCGTTTTCAGAAAAATAATCCAAAGTTGACTGGAAATTGAAACAAGTGTTTATCCAAGATTTTTGATGCTGTTTAATTGGGTCAAAGTAGAGCAAAATTATTGCCTCTTCAGCTAGATCTGTGTAATTTGAGTAATTATTCTGCTTCTCTTGCCATCAATCGAACGATGCAATTATTATCGATTGAAAGTTCAACTTTACGGAAATCTATTATAACATTTAAACTCTACTTTCAATGATGGATGCGGTCCAATCACGTCGATGAGACTCTTCGAAATTCAATGTCTGCAAAGACAAAAAGCACTTTTCAATTCTTCATTTTGTACATTAAAGGTCGCCAAAATTGAAAATTTTTCTGAAAACTCGAAATAGAAAATGAAAAAAGCTCAATTCGTAAAGCAATAAAAATAACTGAATAAAGTGTTTAAAAAATCTTTTAAAATCTGGTCTCTATTTATTTACGTAAACCTGATAAAACGAAAAATTTGTTTTCTTTTGCTATTCAATTTCAGATTTCGATAAATGGTTTGATGAGATTTCAATTGATCAATAAAACCTCTTCTGTTTACTCATTTGCATGGTTTTTCTGATTGATATTTTGTCCATAAAAATGCACTGAAATATCCAGAAACTTCTCAATTTTTTTCTCGGAAAAGCGATGTTAAAAACGAAAAATATTCAATGATTAAGGTTGATTCGATTAAGTTGCGTTTCATGAGTTGAAACTCACCATGATCAGAATGGAGATTCTATGCATCTGCATAACAATGTTTTTTGATGAATTTCCAAGCAAATTGCTGATTACTTTTCATTCCTTCTCATTTTAAAGTTCATGCTAAATTGATAGGGAAAACTATGTGTTGAGATTACAATTGAGTCAATGAAATGTAAGACTTTTTTAGTTGAGCCATTGCTTGATTGATGCATTAATGGTTTTAATGATTTTTTCTCTCAATGATTCTTAAATGGAAATGAGTTTTTTCTTTCCTGATCTGGAAAAATTGCCAGCTTTTTTACATTTACAGAAAAGATAAACAATCAATTTACTCATTGAGTGTTAATTGTTTGCAAAAACACTAAAATTCTGGTGAAGCAAAAAATTGGCCAAAATAGATTGCCATTCCTTACCAACCATCAATCGACCCATCACCATGTTAACTGTACACTAAGCTAAACTTGTATGTAAATTAGTGTCTCACAATAGCATTGGACCTTGTATTGAGTTGACTTTTGATGGTTAAATGGCATGATTGAATAGGTAAATAATGATAGGGAAACTGAGCTAAAGTAATCGATGGATAAAATTGTTGCAACTGTTGATGCCAAAAGTTTAAAGATGAATGAGGAATGGAAAGATTGCAAGATCAAACTTGGAAGATCAAGTGATTTGCTTTGTACTGTTAGACAACGATGAATGAAGAGAGAGGAAGAAAAGTGATTCAAATCAAAGAAAAATGAAAGTGAAGCAAAGAAACAAAACTGTAAAACTGCGAAAAAATGAATTTCTCATTTCAATCAATAACTTGAAAACTTGATGGAAAGTTTGTCTGTCAAATCGCAATGATGGCTCCATTAAAAAATAAATTTGTTTATTAGTAAAAATTTGTCGACAAAGAAAAGTCTATTTTTCCATGATAAACAATGGAATGAGGGAAAGAAAAGATCTTCAATACATTTTGAAAGAAAAAAGAAAAAAAGTTTTAATTGAAGTGCGCAACACTTTTCCATTGTCGAACCAATTGATCTTTAAGATCTCGAGATAATTAGCTGATATCAAACATGATCGGGTGAACCAAAAGTAGAGAAACATGCATAGACTTTCAGAAAAGTTTTCTATCCATTGATTGAACTTTTTGCAAAAATTATTGTCTTCAAAATATTCCGTTCTTGATTTACGAATTAATGCACTTCCAATTTTTGTCCACCCTTCACCTGCACACCAAACTGTTCATTTACTGATTCATTGAAATTCAAAAGTTTTTTAATTGTTCATCAGTAAAAGGCTTGAATTTATCTTTTAGTTGACTTTTTCTTCTCTTGATTGATTCATTATCCAAATAAATTGTACATTCAATTTGAACCAATAAAAACTATTGATACAAATGGCAACAAAAGAAAATTTGTGTGAAAATGAAAATAACAAAATGATATCGATTTATTCAAACATTGAAAAGACACTTGATTGAAGTGAATTGATTTCAAACCTTTTTTTCCAGATAATATTGAAACAGTTGAAACATCAAAATGTTGAAATCGACTTCAATGACTTTGATTCATCAATCTGACAAAACAATTAGTCGAGTTGGTTAAATTTCAAACGGCAAATTAAACTGCAATTACAACTGCAACTACCAAACAAAGGTGTTGTAAAGTTGTTGCAAGAAGCAAAAGAAGATCGTAAAATTTTCTCAACTATTTATTACACAATCACCCATCATGCTCATCATGCATAATCAACGATACTGAACGAATCTCTTTGTTTAACCAGTAAACTTTGCTCACATTAAATACAGGCGAGAGCAGAAATTCAGAACATCTTTTTCCTTCTACTCTACAATGAACATGTTTTCCTACTTTTTTCTGGCAACATTTTTTTCTCTACATTTTCGCAACTTGCATTTTCTCTTGAAACTCCGCTCAATTCCAGTGAATTTCATCTTCCAACTTTATCCCTTGTCGATTCTTAAACTTGCTCTTTCCTCCCTTCCTTCATCTTTAATATGATTCATAATTTCAATTGATGAGGAAAAGAAGGCAAAAGAAGCAAAAAAAATCAAAATTGAACCCTTTTCCATTGCTAAAAGATTTTCTAACCTGACATTCAAAAATATTGTCAAGAGTCCCAAGAGTGTTGTTTCCAGGCAATATTAGCAGAAGGATGAGGATGAAAGAGAGAAAAAATGAAATTCGAAATGTTGCTCCAGAGTTTTTTCATCTTCTCTCCATTCACTACTCATTTAATCTTTCCTCTCTCCACGCTTTTTTAAATGTAATAATACATTGAAAAACTTTTCTCCTTTGGTTTACTTGCATCTTCAAGATCCTTTCCAAGTAATACTTTTGTTATACCTCAACGATTCGTATAATATCATCATCATCATCATCATTTTCCCAGTATTATTGTATCGTTTCCTAGTCAGTAGATATTAGATGCAAAATGTAAAAACAAAAAAAAGGTTTATCATACTATTTGATGTTGTTATGGTTTTACTTTTTTCTGTCAAGATATTTTTTTCCTTCTTCTTCCTTCTTCTCTTCTCAAC